CCCTACACCTCTACCTGCGTCCATGTATACACAGCATGCAGTCTGCTACCACTTGAAAGTAAGTTGTAGACATCTTGAACTTTGCACCGAAATACTTTGCAGGCATCTCATAAGGAGCCACCAGAAGCCATTGTTATTGTCTGGAGAGATTTAATATCGACACAACAATATTGTCTAACATACAATCAGTTATGGGTTGAATTGTGACCCTCACCCCCAAATTCCTATCTTGATATCCTAACCTCAAATATCTTGGTCTATGACCTTATTTGGAAACAGACTCATTGCAGATGTAATTAGTTAAAATTAGGTCCTGTCTGGCTGGCATGGCTCAGCGGTTGAGCATCGACCTATGAACCAGGAGGTCCTGGTTCGATTCTCGGTCAAGGCACATGCCCCGGTTGTGGGCTCAATCCCCAGCATGGGGTGTGCAGGAGGAAGCAGATCAATGATTCTCTCTCACCATTGATGTTTCTTCTTTTTAAAATATATTTCTATTGATTTCAGAAAGGAAGGGAGAAGGAGAGAGAGATAGAAACATCAATGATGAGAGATAATCATTGATTGGCTGCCTCCTGCACGCCCCCTACTGGGGATCTGGGATGGAGCTGGCAACCTTTTGGTGCACAGGCTGACACCCAAATCAACAGCCACACCAGCCAGGGCATGATACTAACATTTTTGAAGGATCCAGGCCAATTTTTTTTGTAGAATGACCTACAGTTTGCATTTGTGTGATTGTTTCCTCATTAAATTCAAAATGTTTTTGTCAAAATTATTACATAGCTGCCCTGACTGGTTTGGCTCAGTGGATAGAGCGTCGGCCTGCGGGCTGAAGGGTCCCGGGTTTGATTCCGGTCAAGGACATGTACCTTGGTTGTGAGCACATCTCCAGTAGGGAGTGTGTAGGAGGCAGCTGAATCAATGTTTCTTTCCCGTTGATGTTTCTAACTCTTCTATCCCTCTTCCTCTCCCTTCCTCTCTGTAGAAAATCAATAAAATATATATATTTTTAAAAAATTGCACATGGGCCCTAGCCAGTTTTGCTCAGTGGAAAGAGCATTGGCCTGAGGACTGAAGGGTCCCTGGTGCGATTCCAGTCAAGGGCACATGCCTGGGTTGCGGGGTTGACCCCAGTAGGAGGCGGGCAGGAGGCAGCCAATCAGTGATTCTCTCTCATCATTGATGTTTCTCTTCCTCCCTCTCCCTTTCTCTCTGAAATTAATAAAAATAATTTTTGACATGCACCTCATGTTGTGCTGCCACTGGAAGCGCTGCTCCAGATCTTTTCATTGCCAGTACGGACACAATCATAATGTCACGCATCCCACTCTCTCCCCAACACCCCTTTCTATTCAGCTCTGCAGCCCCAATACATTTTGGACCCCATTGGAACCTACAATCCGCTGATTTTGCCACACTTTTGCTGTCCCCGTCCCTCTTGTGTCCTGACATGCCTCCTCACACAGCCTCAATTCCAGGTCAGTCATTCTGTATAGTCACTTTTTTTGCATGAATGTATTTTATTTATTCAGCCAATATTTGTTGAACACCAGTTATGTGTCAGACATTCCTTGTCCTTGCGGAGCTTATATTTTGTTGGTAGGAGACAAACAATAAACAAATAAGTAAATTGTATTATGTACTAGAGCAGTGGTTTTCAACGGGGGGTAATTTTGCCACCAATGGGACCCTTGGTAATGTCTGGAGGCATCTCTCGTTGCCACTACAGGGGAGGGGTGCTATTGGTTTCTATTGGTACAAGCCAGGATGCTGATGTACGTCCTACTGTGCACAGGCAGTCCCCACATACAAAGAATTACCCGGCCCCCAAGTCAGTGGTGCCTAAATTGAGAAACTTGCTCCAGAGATGTGACTTCCTTAGAGAAAAGAAAAAAAAGTAGAGTGGGGTGGTGGGATTGAAAGCGGAATTTGGGTTGGAGACTATGAATTTAGTAAGTAGGTCTAGTCAGGGTGGGTCGGCTTCATTGAGAAGGTGACATTTGAGCAAAAGTGTGAAGGAGGGAGGGAAGAAGACCAACTAGGCCTCCTATTTCGTTGAGAGAATTCAAGTAGTCGTCACATGTGCCTGTGTCCCCTGCCTTCCCTCTAATTATTGTGGATAAACTGGTTGTGTTCCTAGCAAAGGCCAAACATCTCACTCAGGAGCTCCCTCCATCTGTTCAAGGCCATTAGTGCAGCAATGCTCTCAAGAGGGGCACGGGAGCATTTGAGATCTTGCTCCCAGCATATGTTGTTAGTTTGGCTCAAATAAACTCTTATTTTAAAAAAGGCACGAGCGCCCTGACCTGTTTGGCTCAGTGGATAGAACGTCGGCCTGCGGACTTAAGGGTCCTGGGATCAAGGGCTTGAACCTTGGTTGCGGGCACATCCCCAGTGGGGAGTGTGCAGGAGGCAGCTGGTCGATGTTTCCAACTCCCTCTCCCTCTCCCTTCCTCTCTGTAAAAAATCAATAAAATATATTTTAAAAGCCACCAGCAACAACCACCACCTTATATTTTACCCTCTTCCCCTCCCCCCAACTACCATCTGATTTTTCTCCTTCCCTTTGCTGCAACGCTCCCTGACAGAATTGTGTATTATCCCTCTCTCCAACCTTTTCCTCCCATTTTTCATTTATTTATTAGAGAGGGGGGGAGGAGAAACATCCATTTTGTTGTTCCACTTATTTATGCATTCATTGATTGCTTTTTTGAGAGAGAGAGAGAGAGAGAGAGAGAGGGAGAGAGAGAGATCTGCTGTTGCACTCATTCATGTCTTCACTGATGGGATAGAACCTGCAACCCTGGTGCATTGGGACGACACTCCAACTGAGCTAACTGGCCAGGGACATTGGTTGGTTCTTTTTACTTTTGATTTTTTTTTTTAAATTGACTTTAGAAAGTGAGAGAGGAAGGGAGGAGAGAGAAACATTAATTGGTTGCCTCCTGCATGCCCCCTACTGGGGACTGAGCCTGGAACCTGGGCACGTGCCCTAACGGGGAATCAAACCGGAGACCTCTTGGTGCATGGGACGACGCTCAGCCAACTGAGCCACACTGGCCAGGACTGGTTGATTCTAGTATGTGCTCTGACTGGGGATCGAACTCAAAATCTTGGCGTACTCAGAGGATGCTCTAACTGAGCTGCTCGGCCAGGGCCTCCCATTTTTCATGAGCCCAAGAACTTTGGGTTTTTCCCCCTGAATTGCTCTTCCTGGGGTCACCAAAAGGTCCCACAGAGCTAAATGCAGTCAGTCCTTGGTGCTCAGCTTGCTGACCTGGGAGCGGCATCTGACTGCCCTCATGCCCCTGCTCCATGCCTGGTGTTCTGCACCAGACGCTCGTCTGAGTTTCCTCCCATTTCTCTGGCCGATCCCACTCATGCTTCTTCTGGTTCCTCCTGGTCTCCCAACCTCAACACGAAGGAGAACACAGAACTCAGCACTTGGTGACTTCATCTCCATCCACCTTTCACACAGCTGCCCCAATGTTAATATCTTACACAACCATGTACATTTGGCAACACTAATTGATGAACATTATGAATGAAGCTACAGACTTTATCTGAATTTCACAAGTAGAGCTTCGAGGCGCCCAAGACCTGACGGTTGCGTTTTCTTTCTTTTTAAATAAAATAAAATAAAAACAAAATCCCTTGTGTCGAGGGCTGACTTTCAATAGATCGCAGCAAGGGAACTGCTCAGCTACATAGGAAACCCGACCCAGGAACAGGTCGTCTACGTTGGCTTAGCACCAGGTTCCTGACGAAGGTGCGTGCGATGCGTGGAGGGTGAGGGGTGGCTTGGTTTTCAAACTGAAAGTTGCATAAACCCGCAGTCCTGGGCAGATTGGGGCAGTCGGCCACCTATTCACCAGCTTTTCCATTAATGTCCTTTTTCCGTTCCAGGATTCCGTTCACCATATGGCATTTAGTGGTCCGGTCTCTTTAATCTCGTCTAATCTGCAACAGTTTCTTAGTCTTTCCTTGTCTTTCAGGACCTGACACTTTTGAGGAGTACTGGACAGACAGGTGTTTTGTGGAACGTCCCTCAGTTTTGGTTTGGTTTGCTGGATGTTTTCTCATGACCAGACTAGGCTTATGGATTTTAGTGGGTTTTTTGTTGTTAATCCTTGCCTGACGATATTTTCTCCATTGATTTTAGAGTGTGGAAAGGAGGGAGGGAGGTGGGGGGAGGGAGGGAGAAAGAGAGAGAGAGAGAGAGAGAGAGAGAGAGAGAGAGAGATGGATGTGAGAGAAACATCAATTGATTGCCTTCTGGAGGTGCTCCGACCGGGGCTGGGGTCGAACCTGCTACCGAGGTAGGGGCCCTTGACCAGAAATCGAATCCGTGATCCTTCAGTGCAAAGTTCTAACTATGGAGCCACACTGGCCAGGGCGAGGCTTACGGATTTTTGAAGAAGAAAAGCCACAGAGGTGAAGCAGGGCAGACATTTGATCTGCTTTATTCACTGTTTCGTATCCAGTGCCTAGAACGGGGTGCCTGGCCCGTTGCAGGCACCAGAAATGTGTCTGTTGAGTGAGTAAGGGTATGAAAGACCGACTCTGTAGAAGTTATTGAGGACCGTGTGGAAGGTTTACAACGTGAACGTAGGCGCTATCCTAGCAGACATGTTGCACCGCAGTTTTGTGTTTTCCTTCAACACCGTGTCCTGTCGAGCCGTCCCCGGACGCACAGAGCTACTTCACGTTCCTAACGTTTGCCCGTTACAAAGAACTGCGCTGGCTCTTTAGACGGATGCGCCTCTGTGCACATGCGTGCGGCTCTTCTCACGGGCAGAGCCGGGGAAGCATCGCCAGGCACAGGGCAGGCACCCTGACGTGTGGCGGACACTGAGCGGCGTCCGCCCGGGGCGGCCGGGCACCGTCACGCCAGCAGCATTTGGAAGAAGCACCGTTTCGTCCCGTCTGGCCGACACGGCATCAATTGCTCAAGCGCAGTGACCGCCGAGGATGCCCGGATGCCTTCCGGACCACATCTCCCAGGATGCCCTGCGGCCCCTCGGCCACCTGGCTGCGTCGAGCGGAGTGACCAATCCCCGAGAAGCTCCGAAAGGCGGTGCCACCTCCACGCCTCACCTACCGCCCGGGGCACCCGGGGCGGCGACTACCACTCCCATAAGCCCCGGTGGACGGGCGCCGCTGGCCACCATTTCAAGGCTCCGCAGGGGTGGGCGAGGGCCCGGATCCCGCTTCCCGGCAGGCAGTGCGGCCGCGGGCGGAACTCCATTTCCCAGCAGCCTCCAGGCGGCGGGCGCCGCGGTGCCTTGTGTGGGATGTAAGCGCGGAGGTGGGCGCGGGGGACCGCAGCCAGGACTCTTCTTGGGATTTGGTGGGCTGGGCCAGGGGGTGCCTTTCGGAGGGACTCCAGGGCCCGGGGGTACGGGTGCAGAGAGGCACCGGGGCGGCCATTGGCCGTCCTCAGCGGGGTCCTAGGGGCGCACCCCCATCGGGGACGTGAGTTATGATGAGACACATGGTGTCTTAGTCATTTCTTAGCAGAGGATGGACAACACCTCCCTGTGTTAACAAACAAGGTCACGGATTTCTGACAGAGCATCCCATTCTACGATGGGACGACGACGTGGTGCGCCTGTTCGCCGCCGAGCTGGGCCGCGAGGAGCCGGACCTGGTGCTCCTCTCCCTGGTTCTGGGCTTCGTGGAACATTTCCTAGCTGTCAACCGCGTCATCCCCACCAACGTGCCCGAGCTCACCTTCCAGCCCAGCCCCGCGCCCGACCCTCCCGGCGGCCTCACCTACTTCCCGGTTGCCGACCTGTCCATCATCGCCGCGCTCTATGCTCGCTTCACCGCCCAGATCCGAGGTGCCGTCGACCTGTCTCTGTACCCCCGGGAGGGCGGCGTCTCCAGCCGAGAGCTGGTGAAGAAGGTCTCCGATGTCATCTGGAACAGCCTCAGCCGCTCCTACTTCAAGGATCGGGCCCATATCCAGTCCCTCTTCAGCTTCATCACAGGTTGGAGCCTCACAGGTGGCAGGGGCACGAGTGGGTCCTGTCCCATCTGACAGCTCGGCCTGCCTCCTGGCAATACATGGTGTACAGAGCCCTTTTGGGACCTATAAGCCTTACGAGGTGGGGCAGGTGTTGATTCCCCCTTTGCCAGAGTCACACAAAATGGCAAGACTAGGACTAGACCCCAGTCACTCGGCTCCAGATCCATTAACCACCCTTTGCCCCGTCAGCACTCGCACCCCTGCCGTTGAGCAACTGTAGGAGTCCTACAGCCCAGCCTGAGGCCCAGAGGGCAGCAGCAGATTGGGGGTTGAGGAGCCAAAATCGGGCTACATTTGGGACGATTAAATGAAGTGTCTGTGAAAGCGATGGCTTAAGGCTCAGGGTTTGCAAAGATCTTTCTTTGCTCAAGCCCAGTTGACTAGCAGTCATGACCCGGAGTGCCGTGTTGGGAAGGAACCAGAGGCTGCTTCTGAGCTTAGCAGGAAAAGGGCGCAGAGATAAATTGGGAGTCGTTGCCAGTGGGTGTGTGAAAAAAGAGGACTTAGTCTCTTGGTCCTATTTTTGCCTATTCTGTTGTGACCTGAGAGGCACAATAAAATGAGGAAATCCTTAACATAAACATATAACGTGGTTGCGGAGAAAGAGAAGTGACAGGGTCCAAGGCTGGGTGGAACTAGGAAGATCCAAGGAGGTCTGTTGTTGGGAGATGGAAACGCAGAGAGAGGCTTTGACCAATCAGAGGAAGGGGATGGAGGAGGGTCTGAGGTTTGGGCACAGGCTGGGAGGTGAGGCTGGGAGAGAACATGGCCAATCACTACCTATCCCCTTCCTCCAGCCAGAGCTCAGAGATTCCTCTTTTATTACTCCCCCTCCTTCCATAGGCACCAAACTGGACAGCTCCGGTGTGGCCTTTGCTGTGGTGGGGGCCTGCCAGGCTCTGGGTCTCCGGGATGTCCACCTGGCCCTGTCTGAGGACCACGCCTGGGTTGTGTTTGGGCCCAATGGAGAGCAGACAGCTGAGGTCACCTGGCATGGCAAGGGCAATGAGGACCGAAGGGGCCAGACAGTCAACGCGGGTGTGGCTGAGCGGGTATTGCCTCCTCCCCCTGCTCCCTTCACACGCCCAGCCCAAGCCACCCGAGGGGCTGTGCTTTCCTGAGCCCCTCTCCTATCGCCCCTAAACATGTCAGGAAGGGGACACAGAAGGGCCCCTTTCCTGGCGGTCATTCCCTGGAGCAGGCACAGGTGGGGCATCATGAGCCATCTGGTCTTGTCCTCTCCCAAGAGCTGGCTGTACCTGAAAGGATCATACATGCGCTGTGACCGCAAGATGGAGGTGGCATTTATGGTGTGCGCCATCAACCCTTCCATTGACCTGCACACAGACTCCCTGGAGCTGCTGCAGCTGCAACAGGTATATTCCTGTGGGAACCTGGGCAGCTGCAGCAGGTATATTCCTGTGGGAACCTGGGCAGCTGCAGCAGGTATATGCCTGTGGGAACCTGGGCAGCTGCAGCAGGTGTATGCCTGTGGGAACCTGGGCAGCTGCAGCAGGTGAGGTGTGGCCATGGGGCCCTGGGCAGGGGCACTTTTCCTCCCCCTTTTTTGGTTAATCCTCACATTGATTTTTAGAGAGAGTGGAAGGGTGGGGGAGGGACAGAGAGAAACATTGATGTGCAAGAGACACATGGATTGGTTGCCTCCCTCACTCCCCTTGATCAGGGCCAGGGAGCAAGTCTGCAACCGGGGTAAGTGCCCTTGACTGGAATTGAACCCGAGACCCTTCAGTCCCTGGGCCAACGCTCTACCCACTGAATCAAACTGGCTAGGGCTCAACTTCCCCTTTTGCAACATGGTTAACAATTCCTGGCCCAGTCTTTCCCAGGGCTCTGGGGAGAGTGGTGTTTAGACATGAAAGGACTTCGACTCCAGGAAGGGGCTGGTTTCTAAATTCTGGCCCTTCCTATCTGGTGGGAGATCCCTGCTGGTGTTGGACACCACTTTGCCTGGTAGACTGAGGACTTCTCAAACCCCCCACCCCCAGCTCACACTTCTCTCTTTGGCCTGTAGAAACTGCTCTGGCTGCTCTATGACCTGGGACATCTGGAAAGGTCAGTAGGGGGAAGTGGCCAGGCTGGGCCTTCGGGGCCAGGTGGCTAGGCGGAGCTGGACTCATGAACTTTTCCCAGGTACCCCATGGCGCTGGGGAACCTGGCAGATCTGGAGGAGCTGGAGCCCACCCCTGGCCGGCCAGACCCACTCACCCTTTACCACAAGGTGGGGATATCTCGGGAGGGTACAGAAGGGAGACCCAATAGCGGCTGGGGTTCCCTTCTACCTGGGAACTGGGAGGGGGCACATGAGAGAAGAACTTGGTGTGTGTTGGGCGTTACCACCCATTTTGTATTTACCATGTACATATTCAGTGCTGTCTGCCTCTCATTGTCCCCCCTGGACTGTAACAGATGTCAAATGTGGGAGCATTGGTGTTAACTTGGTGGGAGTGGAGGTAGAAGGGACATTGGGCTGGGCTTGGAAGGCTTTGGTGTTTGTGTAGGAGTGTGTGGGAAAGCATGGGAAAGGAAATGCCCTGAGCTTGGAGGACGGACCCCTCCCCTTCCCTAGGCTTTGTTCTGCATTCTGGCCCGGGCCTCACCAAGCAGCCTTGCAGACATGGGAGGAGAAACTGGTAGAGCGGATGGCAGGGGTAGAGGTGGAACTGGAGATGGGACTATGGGCTCTTGGCTATTTCGCATTCTGGGTGTCATCTGACGGGACATTCCTGCCAAACGGTGCAGCTGGGGGCTGCCTCCCTGAGGGCTGTCTGCTCTATCCCTAGGGCATTGCCTCAGCCAAGACGTACTACCGGGATGAGCACATCTACCCCTACATGTACCTGGCTGGCTACCACTGTCGCAACCGCAATGTTCGCGAAGCCCTGCAGGCCTGGGCCGACACGGCCACTGTCATCCAGGAGTGAGGATCCTCCACCCCGACCTGTCCCACGAGGGCCTTAGTCCATCCTTTCTCCCTCTTTCACCCAATTTCCACTCATCCTTATCCAGGAGTGAGGCCTGGGTCCCAAGCCCCATCCCTTCCTCTAGTCTGGGCAGCCAAGGCTACCGTCACCCAGGAGGTGGGGATCCCTAATGAGAGCCCCACGCCTTTCCCTCCCTCCCCTCTCCTAATTGCCAGCCACCATCATCCAGCAGCAAATCTGCACCCCCTGCCCCCTGCCCCCCTCCTCACTCTGGCTCTGGGCTGACACAGACACATGATTTCGGAGTGAGGACCCCAACCACTCACCCAGTCCCTAGATGATCAAAGGAAAAGAAGCCTGGGCTCCATCCCCCCCGCCACCCCAGGTCCTGGGGGCTCCCAGCATGGGGGAGGCCCCACGGTGCCCTCCTGCTCCCACAGCTACAACTACTGCCGGGAAGACGAGGAAATCTACAAGGAGTTCTTTGAAGTAGCCAATGATGTCATCCCCAACCTGCTGAAGGAGGCAGCTAGCCTGCTGGAGGCTGGCGAGGAGCGGCCGGGGGAGCAGACCCAGGTGAAGGGCTCCCCCTGTGCCCACCTTCCCACCTGGTCAGGGCCCCGAGTCACAGGACATGGGACTGCTGCCCACGGCGGGGACTGAGTGAGGGAGGTGGCCCAGCATACAGAGCCGCCAGGGTTTGAGGGAGCTGAGGGTATCTTAGGGGTTTCTACCCCATTCCTTCAGGTAAATGGGGTGAAGCTCATCTCTTTCATGCCAAGACCTCGTATTCAGTTGAGGGGGGTGGGATGGAGGTAAGGGGCGGTTCCCTCTTTTCTCTGAGTCCTGGCCAAGAACTGGTTCTATAAAAGGAAGGCGGCTCTGACAATTCTCCCCCGATGCTCACCTCTTACCAGCCAGGACTCTGCTTAGATGAGCGGCTTGGCCTAGCCCTCTGATACAGGGTGTAAGGGTTCTGATCTGTGCCTCCTTTCCCCCTTGCCCAGGGCACCCAGAGCCAGGGGTCTGCCCTCCAGGACCCAGAGTGCTTCGCCCATCTGCTCCGGTTCTACGATGGCATCTGCAAATGGGAAGAAGGCAGCCCCACGCCCGTGCTGCACGTGGGCTGGGCCACCTTCCTTGTGCAGTCCCTGGGGCGTTTCGAAGGACAGGTGAGGGCAGCTGTGCAGGGGTCTGAGGAGGAGCCAGAGCCTGGGCGGCCCTGAAGGGGATCTGCTCCTCCTCTGGGTGCAGGAGACGGGCCGCAACCTGCTGGCCGAGGCTGGGTCCTGGGGATCCAGCCACTGGGTTGCAACCTTGCCCTCAGCTCGCTCTCCCTACCCGGCCCAGGTGCGGCAGAAGGTGCGGATAGTGAGCCGGGAGTCAGAGGCCGCTGAGGCCGAGGAGCCCTGGGGCGAGGAAGCCCGGGAGGGCCGGCGGCGAGGCAGTGCTCACTTTCCAGAGCGAGAAGATGAAGGGCATGAAGGAGCTGCTGGTGGCCACCAAGATCAACTCGAGCGCCATCAAGCTGCAGCTCACCGCGCAGTCGCAGGTGCAGATGAAGAAGCAGAAGGTGTCTACGCCCAGCGACTACACGCTCTCCTTCCTCAAGCGGCAGCGCAAGGGCCTCTGAGCGGCACCCGGGACTCGCAGCCAGTCCCCGGAGCCGGTCCGCAGTCCCGTCTAGGCCCCGCCCAGCTCCCTCCGCCCCAGC